AGAGGAAGTTTTGCATCAAGCAGCTGGGAATGTACACATCGGACATCCACATCGTGTTTCATGAAAAAATATGCTTGCTTTTATTGGAAAACAAAATATCTTCTATTGCTCTCTTTCCAGCATCTCCCACATTCCCATTTGGACTAAGGACATCCAATACCGCAGTAGACATGTAGTCTAGCCCAGATTGGGTTCGCCAGTGATGGTTGGATTTAGTCATTCTTAATAAATAAAAGAACACTTTCCACTGAACTAAATGAAAATCACACTGATTTTATCATATCAATTGGAATGATTTTTCCATTTCTAGACAAAAGGAGAAGAAATTGGAAAGGTGAAAAACATAATCTATCTATTCCTTCAAACCAACAAGTAAACCACACAATTACCGGGAGTAATATAAAATCTAGAACACCCGGGGAAAAAGAAGAAACTAAGATCTTCAATCGAAAAACAAGATAACAAAGCAGAAGATCACACTTGTGCTCCAATTGATCTATTACTTACCCACAACCAATTTTGCTCTAGCATGCCCCTCGTTGATCTGGAACTGCTCTCCAAGCCCAAAGTGAGCCATCAGCAACCAAACAAAGGTGATGAGCTCTCCTCCTTTGCTCAGCTGCTGGGCATGAGTATTTGCCCTGCAATGGGCGGCAGCATATGACATTAGTTCCACCCACATTCTGCTCAGCAGCTTCCATTTCTTCTCTTTCCCCTCCTTCTCCAACTCCTTGAGCTTTTTGGCCAAGATACAGGCATCAAACAGCACAGACTTGCTCCTGTCTCCCTTCACATGCACCGGCTCAACATCTGTATTGACACCCAGAATCTGGTCACAGGCCTTCTCTTGGTCCTTTGCTCCCAAACGCCTTCGGGTGAAGAACCTCCTGGCCTCTGCACAAGTGTCTCGGAATCTAATTTTTCCAATTCCAGCAACTGCCGACATCATCGTAGGCTGCATGATTAGAAGATATATCATGTAATCAGAAAGCATCTTACTGAATTCACGATAATCATACTCATCGAAATCCCTCTCTTTCCACTTTTCATCGCTTTTTTCATTTTTGGGGCAACATCCGGACCCGGAATTGTGGTTGGTCTGTTGATTAGTAGGAGTAGCACTAGTGAATTTATGTCTGTCATCGTTGTAGAGGAGTTCAGTAGCAATGTGCCACAGCAGAAGGCTCTCGTCGTACTTGACATCAGTCACGTACCGCATCAATTCTCTTCGTCCAGTACTATTGTTCGAATCGCTGTCCGTTAGAATCCAGTCGCCTCTGGCAGCGGAGATCCTCTTGGCGGTTTCCGGATCATCTGCGTAGTCAGACTTTTGTTTCAGCTCAGTGAAGATGAATCTCCACAGCTCAAACGTGAACCGATCGCTGGAAACATATCTGAGCGAATCCAAGATATTCCGAAGCCCAAATAGATCAATGAGGTTCCAAGGAAGACTCCAAATATATAGAATGGTTTCGCTGATTTTACTAGCTATCCAAGCCCTCAACGGCCTTTGAGCCGTCCAACGCCTGAACTTGAGACCGATATAATTCACTAAGTTACTGACCGGTTCGGAGATGAGTTCCAGATAAGAAGCAGTGTCTTTCACAAATCCTATGGCAGGCTTGTAGATGTGTTCATCATAGAATTTACCCACGTGGTTGGAGAGAAAATCAAGGCCAGTCCATTCGGTGATCTTTTGAACATAGACGCGAGTCCAACCCGTGAAGTCATGGATTGCTTTAGGACGACCTGCAAGGCAATACCTAATCAAGTTGTATCCGGAGATGGATCCTGACCACCGGCGGAACGGAATGGGTGTAGCAATCACATGATGATAATGCTGGCCCTTATCCTCTTCCATACATTTGGTATGGTGCCAGATGGGTCTTTTGTATTTGAGAAAGACACCGAATATAGAAACCAACCGGCGTTTCAACTTCAAACGCCATGGTTCTTTTTTTCGGTTATTGACTGATGTTTCAACACTGTCATCATCAAAGTCGTAGTCGTTAGGTATCTCTAGAGTTGCAACAGTCCAGTCTGAGAAAACGAGCATGAACAGAGCTATAAAATCCAGGGCTATAGCACCCAGGAGTAAAGTATATGTGATTCCCACGTCAACTCTGTTAAACCCCTTTTTATTTACCATGTAGAAGAATACTCCAAGTGATGACAAAATTGCCCCAAGAGCAAGAGCCCGAAAAATATATCCGATCATTGATTGCACAACCTGGACCTTGGTGAACATGATTTCATAAATAAAATTGAGCTCAACCTCGATTACCCTCAAAGCAGTTTCTGGTTTCAATCTCCGGAAGAAATCTCTACTCTCATTGCGCTCCCGGAAGCTGAAGATGAGATCCACAACGAGCCCCTTGAATGTTTTGAAGTACTTATAAGCCTTCTGTACCACTTGGACGTCGTTTAGCTGAATAGTCTTCTCAACACCCCTGGTTTCTTTAACGGGCTCCGGTATGTATATGATTTGTGTTGCGAGTTTGGCCTCTCTCTTGGAAGCGTATTCTTCCATAAGCTTGGCGTAGTTGGGACCCGGATCCGGTTCACTGAGCATAGAGTCTCGAAACCTGTCGAGGCTAGCCAGAAACAAAGCGCGCGTCCGTTCGCCGTACTTGATGACTCCTGCGATGAACATGAACATGGTAGGCATCCACAGCCTGTTATTGGGAAGCGATTGGGCGAAGACATAAAGAGCAGCAACGGCTTGGGATATCAAACCAAGCATATGCCTGAGCCAGAGCTCGTTATCTTCAAGAGCCAGAGCAGTGATTGTGTCGGGGCCGCCGAGGTGGAGAAGGAGAAAGGGAGCCCAAAATGCTAAGAGATCGCTGTTTTCTGGAGTTTTAGGGTGCGCTCGACCACTTTGGCTGTCTGAGATGAGACCGACGGCGAAATTGGCAGCCCAATCAGCGAGCAGGTAACCATACCAGATAAGACAGATGACGAAGGTTTTTTTGGTGGCTTTTCTGTACGGAGCGAAGAGAATGAGGAGGGCTTGCAAGGAGAGACTGAAGAGGATAATCCCTCTGATGTTCCATTCATCCCAGATTTTCCTGATTTCCTTGACTCTTGGTGGGAGGAGAGAAGAAGCCATCTTGTTCCTCTGGTTGATGCAGCTTTCTCACTACTCCCCTGCACTCTGCTTAAGTAGAACAGGAAACTTGTGTTATGTAACAAAGAAGCATGTTAAAGCAACGCTTTCTTTTCTTTTCTTTTTTTCTCTCTTCTTCTTCCATTTTTCATTTTTTTTATGTGTGTGTAAAATGTGAATTTGTTACTAAAAACACCAAAATTTACACAAACTTTGATTGTGCATAAAATATCCAATCCCCATTGAGCTGCAGTTCCCCTTGGCGCATGGGAGAAGACCTGTCCTTTAGGAACCCCAATACTCTGTCTTGAACATCCATTTGAATCATGTCAATTATTGCAGAAGGAGACTGATACAACTGCTTATGTATCCTGCAGTTTCTTTCAATCCAAATCTAATATACTGATGCACACTAAGCTAATTTCATAAAAGAACAGTACAAAGCTTTATGGTTACCTTTTTTACAATTTCCATAAAAATAAAAAAAAGGACTCTCTTACGAAATCAATCCAAATTATCTTTTCAAATGTAGTTTAATGGGATTTCCAACATAGATGAAATCCTAACCCAAGTATGTGTAGGGTAGGGACAGGAGAAGAGGAGATGATTTCTAGTTTCACTTGCATTCCCACATGGCACACAAGTGTCATCAATGGAAGGAGACCAATTCTTCTATCAGGACCTAGTGGAGGGTCTATCCAATATAGCCAGGCAAGAATAAAACTCTATTTGGGAATAGAATGAATCTAAAGCAAGGTATCTTAGATCTCTTTTCCCTAAAGAAGTTCCAAGTAACACCTATTTGAAAGGAACCTAATGGAGAAGCCAACTAAACAACCTGATCCTCCATAGCATAGTTAGGATATAATGTCCCACATATGGCAATTTGAATCTGCAGCAATTCAAGGACTTGGCAGGAGACCATTTCCAATAATCCCCTTGAATTACAGGAGACAAATTTGCATAAGGGGGAATAGCTGCATCTCGTATAAGTTTCTGCCCAAATAATTCAATGGGAGGTCCCCTGGGATGCCAAGAATCATACTAGAGAAAAATAATGTTGCCCTTACTACTATATATGTGCTTCACTAGAGGTCTAGCGTACATTTTAAGTTCTAGGATTTTTCTCAAATTTTAAGTAGTGTTTATTGAAATTTTTACTAATCAAAAACTATTTTTTAAAATAAATATGTTAAAAAACTATTTTTTAAAATAAATATGTTAAAGAGTTAAATTTTCATATATATATATTAATGTGAAAATTTTTTTCTTGATATTTGAATGAATTTCATGAAATTTTATGTAGTTTTACATAATTTTTATTCTTTGTATAGAAAAAGAAATTAATTAATTAGAATAAAGCAAAATATTTAGGACCAAATCGAATAAA